GAAATTAAATAACTTTCCTGGCAGCCTTGGAAGAACAGATTCAATAGCAAGGTGTGATTTAAATGACGACCCATTGCCGGCAGCTCTAAGAAACCTGAAGGATTTAAAAGCAGCTGGAGGGAATATAATTGCTTTCATAAAATTTGCAGCACGCCACTCTGCATACTTGGGACAGGTTTGCCTATATATATACACTTTTCTTGGTTTTTTTCTGGATAAGTTTGCCCAGAGAGATCAGAGTCTGGATCCTAGAAGCAGGGTAACAGGAAGGACTGCACAAACTGGGACTGAAATTAATCATACATATTTGAAATTAATCATATACAGAGGTCTTTTTCTTACTGAAAGTAATTATAAAAAATGGTGTGATTTTCACTAGCAGTGACTGAAATTACAAATGGCTTGGCAGCAAATTTAATGCATGACTTTGTTTCTTAACGCACTCTGACCCTAAAAAAAGAAAAAAAGTTTTTTAAAAGTCCATTTGTTCAGGGCTAGGAATTGCCAACTGTAATGGATTGTTTTCCCTTGTTAGTTTTGACATGACACCTGGATTTAGCAATTGCCATGAATTAACCTTGAAAAGATCCATCAGAAAGGTGAAAGCTTTTTGGGAAAGCAGAAGCAAAAGAGGCAGGATGGAGGTTAATAGAGGTTTCTTTCAAGTCTATCCACGACAGTTTTATTCTGTCAGGCAACCTGATGTTCAGCTCTTTCCACAGTTCAGTGCTCAGTTACCTACCCAGGTTCACTAAACTGGCTTATCAATGGACGCACCTCGCTGCGTAGATGACCTTTCTGACCGCCTGGGAAGTGATTTGTGGAACTCATGTGCTCAGAGTTGCATGCTGCAAAGGCTGCACATAAAACATTCTTACTTGCTGAAACCACATCAAGTAACTCCAAAAGAGGCTTTCAAAAGTAGTGAGTACCTCTAAGTGGCATAATCTCCCTGAACCTCAGATCGTAACACAGCCTGCTGATCTCACGGAAATCTTATGAAAGTTAATTATTTTGTGTGTGTGTGAAACTCACAGATTCTGTAATTAAGCCTTTCGTTGAAAAGAAAGTAAAGAAATCAATAATGCTAGATTCAGGGAGTAATTTGCAACACAAATGGTTTAGTATCCCACATTAAGCATAGGAAGCGAGACAAAATACTGAAGTCTGAGCACTCTTCGCTTTGTGCCCTGAGAGGGGCAGGGAAAAAATAGCAGACGTTAATGGAATTTAAAGTAACATGCTATATAACCACCAGAGGGATAGCTCCCGGTATGGTTGCTCACACATAATACACATTGCTACCATATCATAATACACATTATCTATCTTACATGACCCTGGTTCTAACATCTTCCTTTTCCCTTTTATCTTCACTACAATATTTTAACCTTCCAGTCATAAAACAAAGGCAAATAGCCTGCACACAGCGTCAGTTTGGATAAATATTTCAAACAGCACTGGTGGAGTCCTAGCTCTGCAGATGCTTGTTATACCAACAGACGATTGGATCTTTTCCCCTTTCTCACCTACAGCATTATCCCATGGAGAGTCAGTTTTATGATCACATCTCCGTGCTGTCCAAGATTTGCTATATCAGTTTCTTACAGGAAGTAAAGCTAACACGAAAAAGCTGTTTTATGAATAAAAAAGAGACATACGCAACCAACTGCTGCCTACAAGGAGCAAGGAGCATTGGCAGACATAAGAGCACTGGTGGAAAATTGTAGGAGCTGTAGGGAGAAGATTTTGGTAGTGGGGAGAGTATCCTGAGGGTGAATTGGAGTGATTCCAGTAAAATCTACAAGCGGCTGCTTAGAAGTTTCTATTCAGGTACCGCAGGGAGGTACTGGATGCTCCCTCCACATTTCATGACACTAGGAAACCCTACAAAGCCAAGACAAGCAAAGAGCAAAATACCGAATCCTTACTCAAGTCCTGTACCTGTACACTGACCTTTAGGATACTTCCCATGAGACAAGCTAAGCAGGGAGCTTAAATCCTGTAAAGTAGAGGAGCTGGTATCTCAAAAAAACAGTTTTGCTCAGGTAACTGCAGTTACCATTTTCATTTAATATTGCATTACTACTTTATGCTGAAATTGGGCTAGGATAAAGCCAATAGCCTTCCTTTGGACCCTTCAGAGTGCACACGGCTTGCAGGGTTAACTCCTGTAAGAGACAATTGCTATTTTGGTTTGAGGTGCTTTGCAGTCTTTCAGAAAATACCCCCACACAACGCTTTCTTCAGCAAAAGAGATAACTTTTTTTTTAATTCTAAAGGAGAAATCCAGATGCTCCAAATGGAAGGTACATGTCTTCTAGATATGATGCTGTGTGTAGCTTGTGGCACAGGTTCACAGCCTGGACATCTGAGCGTGAAGAAAATAAAAGCTACATCTTACTGATGCCCCCAAACTGCCAAAACATGCTTTACTGGAATTCCTCTGCTCAGCCAACAGCTCGTAGAGAGCATGTATCTTCTCCGGTGAGAGGTCTTGTACCATGCTGTTAAAGGATGCTGCTATACACTTATTTAGGCTACCCAGAGGGATTAATTTATCAGTTTTTTCTTCTTCTTGCTGCTGTAGACCCTGTCTTTTGGTTATTTCTGAGCACTGTAGTAGAACCAGAGAGCTGGAGGATCTCCAGTTAGGTTTGTGTTTTCACCACCAGTCCCTAGGGTGAGGAATTCAGCAAGGCTGTTGCTAAAGAGCAGCAGCTTCCGTAACAAAAAGTAGAGGAAAACCAAAACCTCATTCCAAAACATACTGCATGCAGCAGGCCTTGTCCTTACTAGACTTCTCTTTAAAATCCAGAGAGGAGGTATGTCTTGCAGTTACCCTGGAAGTGAGTAATTTGGGAATTTCTGACATAAATAAAATTACAGTGAGCAGTTCTAGAAGTGGCTTGATTTTTTTTACGTGCTGGCAGGTAAGGGTCAGTATGTCTTCCCACAGAGCAACAGTGAGCCGTGTTTTAATATAAAGTAGCCTCTTCTTTTCTAGAAGATGAATGAAGGAGACATTTGAACACTGACATTTTATACAGTCTCTTGTATTCAGTTTTGGAATACCTGCTCTCTCTTTTGACCTCCGACATTCCCTCTACATGGCTCCTCTACTGCTTCCAATATGAGTCTAATAAAAAACACTCCCCAAGAGCTGGTCTCTTGCCTTCAGCTGCAGTGCGAGGGGGTGTGCATGGCTGAGGATGACTGTCTGTCTTCATTCCATGTCTGTGCCGCAGCCAAAACCCAGCAAGGTGAGGACGAAGGGAGAGGAGCAGCGTGAGCAAGGCAGAGAGCTCTGAGAGCATCATGTCACTTGAGTGGAGCTAAACACTGCCCTGTGAATGCAGCACAGCCCTTCTCTACATGCTCTCTCCCAGGCAGGGCTGTGTGTCCCGCAGGAACAGGGGTTTCGCCAAGGACACAGCCCATCTCAACACTCCCCTTTGCAGTGCACACAGGTGGCTTCTCTGAAGGGTGTAGCCAGAAACACAGATGCTCTGCATGACCTTTGCCATGGGTTAAATACCACAGACAAGTCCCCTGGAGCACCAACACTTAAGGAGAGAGAATCACAAATTACAGCCTGAAAGACTCCTAGAATCTTAGAAGATGGGGACCTTTTTGAATAGGAACCTTGAGATGTTATGGGATGTGCTCTGGTGACGAAGCTTGTGCTTGCTGCTGGGGGGACCCACAGAGAAAAGGCTGAGTGGGAGGAGGGCTCAGGACTCACCCTGCTCCCCTGGGACAAGCCCTGTCTCAACGGGTCTCCCAGAGCTGCCCTGGGACAGGACCTTCCCTCAACCCTCAGGTGTCACGCAGCAGGCAGGAGCACACAGACAGGGGCTGTCCCTGGCTTGGACAGGAAGAACTGGTGAGATGAAGCTCCACTCTTGGGCCCAGGACCTTGCTGCTCTGCCCGCAGACCCCAGCGCAGGGGATCAGCCATGGATGGGGGAGTAAGGGGGAAAAGCCTGGCAGATGTGCCCCATGGAGGGGAGCCACTGAACATGAGCAACTGAACCTTGCCTGCTTCTTCCATGCTGAGCTGTAACCGATCTCCTCATACACGGCCTCAGGGAAGGGCTCCCAAGCTCTCCCAGAGCTTCTGGACAGTGGCAGAACTGTCCCAGAACAGGCAGAGAGGGGACAGGAACCCACTCTGCTCCCCCAGCTTTGGTCCTTTGGGCATTGCCTTAGCAGAGGGAAGTGACAAAGTCCCACAGTGTGCAGCCGAGAACTGGGGAACCCTCTGGCCCAGGCAGCTGCTGCCATTGTGGACACAAAAGCTGTGCTGCCCAGGAGGGTCCCGTCATGCAGGGGCTGGCAGATGGACACATAGTGGTTGTAGGGCGTGATGGTGAGACGATAAAATCGTCTGTGTTTGAGGAGAGAAAGAAAAGGACCTGGGCAGCACATCCCAGGAAGAAGGTGGCCCTGGTGTTCCAGAGGGACCTGGCAATGGCTTTAGTGACAGCGGTGGACATGGAGCACAGGTCCAGCAGGGGGAGGTCGAGGAGGAAGAAGTACATGGGGTGTGAAGGCACCGGTTGCAAGCTGTGGTGGTGATGAGGAGTTCGTTGCCCAGGAGTACAGTCAGGTAGATGCCGAGGAAGAGTCAGACATGCAAGAGCTGCAGCTCCCATGTGCATGCAAATGGCAGAAGGAGGAATTGGGTGACGGAGCTGCCACTGGACATTTGCTTGAGCCTGTTATGGGGGGCTTTCCAAAAGGGAAAAGACAGTGACAATTTAGGGGAGAATTCTCTGGGTGAAACCTGATGCATTTCTCACAGAACACCCTGAAACTGCCTCTTCTCTGGTTTCAGGAAGACTTTTGGCAGGTCCCTTCCATGAGCTCTGGTTGGTGCAGGCTGAGGGTGTCCCTGGAAGGAGGGGGCTCTGCTGGGGCTCTGGCAGAGCCAGTCCTGCCCTCCAGCAGTAAGGAAAGAGGAACACGGCAGGAGCGCGTATGGAGGTGTTGTGTCAGATGAAATTCACACGAGATATCAAAGAGTTTTTCAGAAGATCTCACCTGTCCATCAGCTTTGGTCTCAGCTGCCCTGTGCTGGCTCTTTCAGCAGGGAGAGGACTTTACCCAGACTGCTCCAACTCGCAGCCCCTGGGGTGCAGGGACCCTACTTGAAATGACAACCCTGGGTACCCCTGGCTGCACAGCTGGCTGCACACCCCTGAAACCACCCCCGGGAGAAGGCAGGCATCACACACACCCCTTTGATGGTGCACTGGGGAATCCAATGCTTCTCCAGCCCTGCTACTGGGAAATTAAAAGAGGAAGCTCACAAGCCCCTGGCAGCCCCAAGGAGCTGTCCCAAGGGTTGTGGGTGACCCACATCCGCTGCCTGCAGGCTGCCCTGTAGCCCTGTCAGCGGGTGCTGCTACCCATCCCCCAGTGGACCTTCCTGCACACCTTACTTTAGAGACAGATCCTCTACACCACTCTGATCTGACAAACCATTTATCCCTCCTCCCTCATTTCTCTTTTTTATTTGTGCTCTTTTTCTTGTCTGGTTTCAGCTGAGGTTTTCTTGTTCTTCCATCTTTCCATGAACCTGCACTCGATAAATGCAGGTGTAGGCTGTGTTTCCCCAGTTGCTCTTCACAATAAGTTTGATGTGCGCAAAGGCTCTGTGCGTGTTCTGTGAAGAGAGTGACAAGAAAACTGAGGTGTTAAGTGTGACGGTGCAATTGACGTTTCTCCCCCTGCCTGCCCTGCTCCTGCTCAGGAACAAGCTTCCAAAAGTGGGTAGGAGTGGCTGTAGGCATCTGAGGCTCACTGCTGGTACCAGGGCTCCTGCAGAGACTGGAGGCACGGGAAGGGAGAAGACATCCTCTGGAACCTGGCCTGCTGGCGACCGCGCCTCCCTTCCCTTTGCCCCTTTACCTCTGCAGCTTGCTCTGAGCTGACAGAGAGGCTGGGGAGGTCCTCCTATGCGTGAGACAGTTGGTGTGAAAGTCCATTAAGCTCCCGCCATGCTCTCTGCCTGCCTTCCTCCTGGCAGGTGTGAGGGCACCAGGAGAAAAGGGACGTGTTGTGCTGGGAGGAAAGGACACTGTCCAGCCTGTCAGCAGGCCACAGGGTGGAGCGACAATGCTGCCCGGCAGCTTCCCCCACCAGGTATCCCTATTTCTCCTGGCACGAAGATGTTGCTTTGGTGGAGAGGCCATGTGTGCAGCTGGCTCTGCTGAAGGCAGCAGCTGCAGCAGGGGTCTCTCAGGACTTAAGCTCCCACAGGAGCAACCCTGCCCTTGCAAACCTGTTGCTGCTACCCCTACCGCATGCTACTCAGTCCTCCCAGCTCCACCAGGCCTCCTCGGCAGTGGTCTGGGCCCCTGCGCCAGGGGAGAGAGCATTCACGCTCTTCCTGCCACGGACTTGCAGGCACTGCTGGTTTTCTCCTGGGCATCTTGCCTTCATGCACAGACTGTACCTTCAGAGGGAAGGTTTGAATAGCCTCTTTTGTCACGTTGTACATGAACATCCCAAGGAGAGTTTCCTCTTCTCTGTCTGCATTCGATCCCTCAAGGGAAAAGCACAAGGAGGAAGGAGAGAAGCTCAGACTTGTCCCGGCAAAGAGGATGTTTGTATGTGCTGGATCAGCATATACTGCATGGGCTGTTGTCTACTGAGCCTCTCCTGGGGCTCTAGCAGTAGTTAAGCACTGTCTCAACCTTGTGTTTTATTCAAGAGCCCTGAGGTGCTCTCACCAGAATGAGTCTTGAGAGGGATGGAACCCCTAGAGCCCCTGAAGTATCCTGCAAGTGCACTGCAGGGCTTAGGAGAAAGCAGGACACAAATCTCCAAGGACTTGCTTGCACAAAGCAAGCAAGTTCCAGTCACGGCTTTGCCCCAGGGCCATGCCAGCCAGAAGCACCCAGCAGAGACTTACAAAGACAGCGATGTCTCGGGGGGCACTGGTGACGGTCCCGGATGGAGAGACCTCTTTGTAGATGTGCTGCACACTGACAGCAGTCAGATGGACTCGTGCTCGCAACCTGATGACCACCTGGCCCTGGTGCCCTTGTAATGGCCAGCAGTTTCCTGGGGAAATATCCGGCTGCAATCAGAACGTGAGAGTTAATGAAACGTGAGCCCATGTTCAGTTCAACACAGCTGCTCATGTAGCCTGAAGCACAGGTGCTGGTGTGTCTGGGGGGTCTAGTCCAGCTTGAAAATGAGGCACGTGTGAGGAAATGGACAAAAGCAGCAGCCTCTCAGTATTATGAAAAGAGGAGAATACCTGTTACTAAGCCAACCTAGTCAGGCCCTTACAGACACAGCTCTCTGCCCAGTGGCTCTGCAGAGGACCCCCTGCCTCCCACCCCAGAAAAGAACTGTTAGGGCTGAGTATGGAAATGAGGTCACCAGGGAGAATGTCGTTCACCCAGCTGTGACTGAGGACTCTGGGCAAGATGCCGCAGTTGAGCTCTGTTCCCCTCCTGAGGGGAGCCACTGCTTTCGATCGAGGCCAGCCCTGAGTCCAAGCTTTGGCTTCAGGCAACAGATCAGCACTGTGGGCTTGAGCATTACCACTGGACTGAGAGGACAATGCCCAAGGTCAGTCCCCAGCTTCTCAGGAAGGAAACATGCACTGGTGGTTTCTGCTACAATACCTCCAAAATCGTATCAGGAGGGTTGGGAGTGTGGAAGAACCATAAAACCCTGCAGCCCCAATTCTCTTTGCAGTCATAGGTCTTTGAAGTTCTCTGCATGTCAATGGTGGCACCTGTAAGGAAGGGAGAGCAGGTGACTGCACGAGGCCACCGAGTAGGAGGACCCTGTGCTCAGACGCCCTTTCTGATGCTGCTGGACAGCTCCACGTCTGTCAGTCCTCTCCTCATCTCCATGCTGGTAGGGGTGCCTAGCTGCGCAGGATGACAGCACCCATATGCCTGGTGTCTGCTCCTCTCAGCGCCACAAGTAGAAGGCCTGAGGGTGCTGGTGAATGAGGGCAGACCAAAGCTGAGGGCTTGCTGTGTGGGCAATAAAGGATGACGCATCCGTTCTCTTTCCAAATGCATTGATGAGGAAGAGAGCCCCTCCGTCAGCCCTGGAATGTGTGTGGGGGGGGGGGGGGGAACAGTGCCAGAGGCACCTGCGCAGAGGCGGAACCAGGAGGGAATCCAAGAGAGCCACTGCCACAGACTTGCTCTCAGACCTCATGAAGCTCCCCTGCTTTCAGCTCCCCTGCTTAGGAGAGCAGCACCTGGAGGACATCCTCCTTTGGGGAGTGCTACAGACAAGTGCATGGCAAGGAGAATGGGCTGCTGTGTCCATACCAGAACTTTTCAGGGCCCAGTCAGATCTTCCGACGAAGACTTCCAAAGCCAACTCCAGTGCTGCCGGGTTCACCTCCTGCCTCTCCTGGGAAAGACACAAACAAGCACAGAAAATGAGCACTTCAGCAGTCAGTTCAGCATGGCTACCAGCGCCCAGAAAGGCAAAGAGTCAGTGTCAGAAATACAAGGCAAGCCTTGTCCAGTAAGCTGAGAGACTGCAGCTGACGTGAGCCACAAGCACAGTATATGTGGCCACGACCATGGGGTCCTCACTCCCTTGTTCCCACCTTCCATGCTCAGGCCATGTCCACAAAGGCTGGCCATGGGAGTGGGCCTGGGTCTCCCTGCTGCTCAGGGCCCAGCCAGAGCAGCCAAAGGTGCCCGTGCCAAGGGAAGGATGCTGGAAGATTTCTACTGCCTGAAGCACCAGTTAACCTGGGCCTAGAGAAGGGCCTGGGCAGTGCCAAAGCTCACCCAGCAATCCCCTGGCACAAGCTGGCTTGCTGCGCTCAGCAGGCTGAGCCCACTACTAATCCCAGGTAGTGCTTCCTCAGGGCTTCTGCCCAGCCAAGCCTTCTTCTCCAAAATGCAGGGTTACCTTCTTCAAACTGCTTATCTCCACCTCCAGCTGAGCCACCTCCTCCAGCAGAAGCTGCAACTTTTGGGTTTGCTCTGTCAACAAGGCGTGCAAATTCCTGCAGGAACAGGAAAGCAGATGTTGTCAGAGAGCAGCCCATTCCCTCTGCAAGGAGCAGAGACACAGGGCTTTCTGGTTTGTGAATGCTTCCCTTCCTCCCCACGCTGAAAGAAAGGCAATGGCCAGAGGGAAGTACAGGAGCCGTGGCTGTTAGAAAAATGGGTGCAGGTAGCACGAGGTTGTCCTGGGTTCAGCCGTAGCAGGAATTTCTCTCCTTCTTAGTAGCTGGTGCAGCACTGTGGTTTTGACTTTCAGCCTGGGAACAGCGCTGATAACACCGCTGGTTTTAGTTGGTGCTCAGTAATGTTTACTCTGACCAAGGACATTCTGAGTCTCATGCTTTGCCAGGGAGGAGGGGAAGCCGGGAGGAAGCAGAGAGAGGACGCTGCACCCAAACTAGCCAAAGAGGTATTCCATACCACAGCACGTCATGCCCAGTATATAAACGGGGCAGTTACCCGGAAGGGCTAGATCACGGCTCTGGTCGGGCTGGGAACCATTAAGCCGGTGGGGAGCGGTTGTATTCTCTTCCCTTGTCATTCCCTTTATCATTATTATTACTGGTGGTAGCAGCAGTGGTTTGTGTTACACCTTAGTTACTGGAGTGTTCTTGTCTCAACCCGTGGGAGTTACATTCTTTTGATTCTCCTCCCCATCCCTCGGGGAGCAGGGGGACAGAGAAGAGGGGGAGTGAGCGAGCGCCTGCGTGGTTCTGAGTTACGGGCTGGGCTTAAACCATGACAGGTTGGCTGATGTTCCTGCACAGGTCCAATTCCAGCTCAGGAAACATCTCTTACCTCAGCATCTTTGTTTCTGCTGCCGATGCCCATGTCAGAGCCTGAAAGGGAAAAACTCTCTGTTAGAGTATCCACCACCAGAGCTGCTGGGGCTTCCCAGGAGAGGCTTCCCTAGGAAGCCCCGGCAAAAGCCACTGCTTCTTTGGCTCACTCTGTGTGGACACAGAAAAGCCCACGATTTAGCCAGCCACTGTCAGCAATGCTCCCTTGCAGGAGCTGCCTGTCCCAGAGGGTCCACCAACCTCTCTCTGTGCCTTTGCCTGCATTGTCCACGCTGGCAGTGAGGTCCCACAGTAAACACCAGCTGCAATTCACATCACCAAGAGACAGTCACTTGACCTGGGTTGCTAGTGGTCCCTGAAGCACCGTGGTCTCCTCCTGGTTGCCTTGTGGATGGGGCAGCAGCTAAGCTGAGGAGGTGGGGAACACAGGGTGCAGAGACAGGACCTGCCTCTGACCGGAAACCATCACCACAGGCTTCAGGGCATTGTGTAGCCATGAGCTTCAGGTGTGCTCGCTGACCCAGAGCTCTTTCCCATTTCCCCTTACTGCTCCTGTGAGCCCTGAGACCAGGCTACATCAGCCAGGAGAAGTATCAGGAGGGCCATCAGTCGCCCTGCACAGCCCCTCTGGGTATCCCCCAGTTCAGGCTTGGAAATACATACTCCCTTCTCTCGCAGGCTTGCAGACTAAGCAAGCCCTTTGGTCCTGTGGCCAGTGCAGCAGCATGGCTGGGAGGCTACCAGTCTTACTGGTAGCTGAAAAGCAAGTCCTCGTCAAGGACGCACACCAGAAGCACTTGGACCATGCGAGTTTCCACACATATGGGCCAAAAAGGAAAGCTGGCATCCAGCACAACCAGGCTGTTACTCTCAAACATTTGCTCACACAGACTCACCAAGAACCACTGGAAGCAAGAAGACAATGAATCTCAGGAACCTCTTCTTGTGCACGGCCATCTTTTGCCTGAAAAAGGAGGGTGTCCTATGTCTGTCAATGAGGCAAGTTTCGAGCAAACCAGCTGGATTACCACTTCCAGGCACAAAAGCCACTGTTTTGGAAGCCTGCTCCTGACAACACAGCTGCCAGGGAAGAGCCCAGGAGGAGCACTTTCGGTCCACACCTTTCAAAACTGCCAGCAGCTCTTCCCCCAAAGAAGAACGCCAGGACTCACTACTCCCCGAAAGTAAAGAGGTTGAGCAAATCAAGACTTCCGCCTCCGCACCCCTGCGTCTGGCTACACAGCAGGTTCTCCTACCATGACCAAAGTCTGGGCCTCTGGCGAATGTGTGGCAGGGAGTCTGCCCAGCGGCTTTACTCTTGGCTCTCCCTGAGAACGGCCACAACACGAGCAGTGCTCGTGAGAGTGGGAAGCTGGCTGAGGGCCCTCAGACACCTCCTTTCTCCCCGTGTCCAACACAGAAACACGGAGTACATACATACTCCTTTCCCCATCTCTGCTTGACAGCAAAGATGCAGCCTGCAGCGGAGGAAGAGGAGGAAGTTGGCAGCAGCAGCAGCAGTCCCCACTGCTCGAAGCACAGCCGGCAGCACAGCCCAATTCTCACCCGCTCCCTCCCTGCACCCTGACCCCTGCAGCATGAGGCTACCGCCTCCCCAAAAGCCCAACAGCAGAAACAGGTTGTACGTACACAGTGAAGATGCACACGATCAGCAGGTATCTCCACAAGGTACCTGCCAGATGGCAAATGAGGCTGAAGACCGTCCCTGGGCAAAGAAACCAGAGAAAAGTTAGGCCTATGTCTTGAGGTCTCTTCTCCAGGATGCTCAGCCAAGAGCGTTTTGGCTCCCTGCAGGGAGGCAAGCACCGAGAACTAGGCACCACCTCTCTGGGGTGAGGAGCAGAGCAGCCTGCATTTCCCCAGCCACTTGTGACATTTTGCCAGACTTCTGGCACAGTGCAGCGCTCTGAGTTCACCCCAAGGACTTTGCAGCAAGAGCCAGTGCTGAGCTTACTTGCAAGTGCTGTGGCCTTGTCTTGACGCTTTGGTGGCCCTCGAGAGGATGAGCTGGGAGTGGACTGAGGAAAGCGTTCCACCAGCTCCACCTCTGTGAAAAGGCTCCTGTGGGAGGAAAACAAAAAAGATGCCGATTGCTCGCAGTGCTTGCTGGGAGAGCAAGCCATGCTTTCAGCCACGGCCCACCAGAAGGGGGGTGGGCAATGCACAGGGCTCTTGTGCAGAAGCGTCTGTCAGCTTCCCCATGCTGATCCGTGACCTGCTGGCTGTATTAGGCCGTGTCCCAGCTACCGTCCTAAGCTGATGCCCCATGCACGAGCAGCCAACTTCGTACCTACTCGCCTGGCCGTGGCTCCGCCCTGCAGCCTCTCGTGCTGACCGTTGGTCAGCTGTGGTCTCAAAGGAGACATTTAAGGTCCCTTGGACTCTTTTCCGTGGTGCCTTTCTCCTTGCCATCTCTGGGCAAAGGCAGCCTCCCTGCTCAGCTCTTCCTCCTAAGCCTCAGCAGTCTGGGCTCCTCAGGCAAAACCAGTTCCAGCAGCAGCTCCACGCTGCCCTTCCACGGGAGTGTCCCTGCCCGGGGCAACAGTCACGTGCAGCTGTGGGCTCTTTCCCTGCCCCACAACGCTGTATGGGTGCCCAGTTCTCAGTCAAGATTGGCGGCTCTGATGTCACAGTGGGGCTGAGCAGGGCTCCCTCTGGGCTCCCCTGGGGCAACATGGGGACTGGACCAGACTGGGGGCTGCAGGGTATGGGAAATGGGGTGGGCTGGAGCTGGGCACTGTGACCACCCCAGCACTTCCTGGCCCTAGGCAAATAAAGCTTATCAGCTACACACAGACAGGAGGGATGACAAGAACAAACATCTCTCCTGTTGCCATGGGAACTCTGTTGTCCCTGCAATTAGCTCCAAGTGGCTGCCTGAGGACAAGCGTCTGCTTCACGGTGTCCCTCCGGGTGGCCACATCCTGCTCGGGGACAGAGCTGGCCTGGCCAAGGATGAGGACATTGAAGGGACATCCCTTGAGGACAAGGGCCTTGGGTGACCAGTGTCCGAGTGCCATCCAGGGAGCCAGAGCCTTGCTGGGGACAGAGTCATTGGGACCCACCATCTGGAGGCAGCTCTGCAGAGTGGGACTCCAGTGACCTGGGTGGGTATGGTGGCCCCAGGCAGTGGCAGGCTGGTGGTCAGGGCAGGGGATATTCTGCTCCGTTCTCTGCACTGAGGAGGCCATGGCTGTGGACTGCCCAAGACTGGGGACTACAGTGCATGGGAAATGGGGTGGGCTGGAGCTGGGCCTTCTGACCACCCCAGCACTCCTTCAAGCCGAACCCTCATCTCCCAGTGCCCAGCATTCACCAGTGCTCCCCATCGCCTCCTGTGACTCAAGATCCCAGTCACCTGGCAGTATCCCCACCTGCCAGTGCACCGCAGCTGTCCTCCAACCTCCCAGTGTTCCCTAAGCCCGGGATCCTTCGTGCCCCAGGAAGAGGGGTCATTCCCAGCCCCCTGGTTACCCAAGGGATGGAGAGGGGGCAGGGAGAGTTCTGCTCAGAGACCCCTGGTCTGAGGCTAGCAACATTCCTGGGGGAGTTCTGGGCGAAAACACAGTCCTGGGAGGCAGGCGGGGCTGGGAGACGATAGTGCTGGGAGGTGAGGGGCACTGGGAGATAGGGGGATCTGGCTTTGGGGGCTGCTGGAAGGTGCTTTTGTGTTGGAGCAGTGGGCAGACACCATAGGACGCCTGGCTGTCAGGGGTCCTTTGTTCCCCTTCACCAGCCCCAGATGCCTGGGCACTTGCATGTCCAGCTGCCCCGTGCAGGAAGCTGGACTGATGCCAGCAAAGGTGGCTGAAGCCATGCTGGAGGCAGGGGTGACTCTGTGCCTAGGCCAGGCTTGCTGCCAGGGCTGGTGTCTCTGCCAAGTCTGGCTTTGCCCTGGGAGCTCTCAGGGAGGGCAAGGAGGAGTCCTGGGAGGGATAAATCTGCCCCTCACCTTCTCCAGCCTCATCCAGGACTCACCAAACCGTAGAGAAACATGACGGTCACAGTGCTCAGCATGGCCCTGCTCTTCACTATCCTGCTGTGAACTCCAGCAGATGCTCATGTGAGTCCCCAGTGCCTCGAGGAGGGGCTCAAGGCTGGGAACAGGTCTTGGCTGCAAGATATCAGCTCCCCTGCAGGATGAAATCATAGTGGTGAGCATGAAACCCCTTGAGTTGGCTTCTCCCTTTCCCAAGCAAGAGGAAAGGGAG